GACAGGTTAGACTCCACCCCTTCTCAAGTTGACAGTAGATTATGTAACTGACACTTGCTAGTATTATTATAAACTTAAAAAAAAAATCCTTTCACTGGGGCTCATACAATTCTTATCACAACCCATACATACGTCAATTGTGTAGCTTCTCAATGTTAAAATGTGTCCTAAAATGTTTACTGCATAATTTGAAGAAAAATTTAATCTTCAAACTATTTATGAAAATTGCTATGAAGCCTTATGTTTTTGACATTCTAAATTGCCATCATATCTTTCATGTCTTTTCAATTTTCTTTCTTAAGCTGTGTTCTTGGTTTTACAGTATCCAACTTGTATTCTCAGAATCTATTGCATAGCCTCCCATGCCAAAAAGAAAAACACACTGCCACCTAATTAATTCTAACTCACAGTGACTCTATGACAGAAACAAACCACCCCATTGAGTTTCCAAACCATTCAATCTTTTAAAGGCTGCAGAGTGACTGATGGGTTCGAACCACTTACCTTATGGATTGACAGTTCATTGTATAACCAATTAACCACAATGGTTCCATATACAGCTTCTCTTGGAAGCCCCTTAAAAGTGGAGTCCCTTATTAACTAATTCTTTTTCAAATATTTCTTACCTTTTTGGTCTTATCCTTTGGGTCTAAATTCTTCTCAAGATTTTTTAAAATCATTTTATTGGGGGCTCATACAATTCTTATCGCAATCCATATATACATCCATTGCATAAGCACATTTGTACATTTGCTGCCCCCATCAATCTCAAAACATTTGCTTTCTACTTGGGCCCCTGCAATCAGCTCCTCATTTTTTTCCTCTCCATGCCTGCTCCCCACTCCCTCATGAACTCTTCTCAAATTAAAAACTAGGATGCTAAAGTAAGGAGTTATAGTCTCAGAAGCTTAAAAGGGGCAGTTCTACCATGTCCTATAAGCAATGGTTCTCAACCTGTGGGTCACAACCCCTTTGGAGGTTGAACGACCCTTTCACAGGGGTCGCCTAAGACCATCAGAAAACACATAAACATTTCACAATATATAATTATGTATTATTTTGTGATTAATCACTGTTTTAATTAGCTTAATTATGTTAAATTTGTAACAATGAAAATACATCCTGCATATCAGATATTTACATTACAATTCATAACAGCAGCAACATTACAGTTATGAAGTAGCAATGAAAATAATGTTATGGTTGGGGGTCACCACAACATGATGAACTGTATTAAAGGGTCCTGGCATTTGGAAGGTTGAGAACCATGATGAGCAGGGATGACTCAATGGCAGTGAGTTTGGGTTGGTTTTGAAATAACTAAAAATATAGTGGAACATCATATATAAGAAATCAGAGCTAATGCTGTGTATCCAGTGCAATTTTCTGAAATCAGTGCCTCAACCCCAGGAACATGCCTAAAAACAAAGACACCAAGAAAAAATTTTGTTTTGCTTGGGCTGTGTTTTAATTTATGATCAGAAAGATTAATTTTTTAAAACTCCAGAAATCTTATCAAAAGATTGATCTATGACGGGGACAATTGCATTGCTTAAGGGATGCACAGCTGATTATATAATTAGTGTCATTAAGTCGTACATCTATAAAAGTTGAATTGGCATGAGTTCTATACTATAGATATTTATGATGATAACAAAGAGCAGCTGCTAGACTGCTCCATACATCCAAAGACATCATGGGATTTGGTTCTTTGGGCTGGAGTTTAGATTTCATTGAACATCTTGGTTAATAGATCTAATAAAATATGCTTCTGTTCTACTTTCTAGTTCAGTGCATCGTGCCTAGGGCTTTTCAAACTTGCAAATGACCAAGTTAGGTGTAACTGGTCTCTATTCACCTGTAACAACAGCAGGAGAGTCATGAATAGAGAGACAATAGGAATGTATGGTTAATTACCACTGAACAATGGCCCCTTTTATCAAGACCAGAACAACTGGATGCTGTCTAACTGTTAGTAAACATTTTAACCAAGGGTCCTTTCGAATCCCTATCAAAAGATGGAATATGCAAAACAGAATTTTAAATTCTCTTAGAATCTACAGTTTTTAGAACCATGGATGCTAGATAAACTCCTGAAATTATTGTCCTGAGACCACATTAAAACTTTAAACCAAAAATATCTCCTGATATTGACCAGTTAGGAATGTGTCGTGAGTGTTATGCTCTTTTAAGATCTATCTCTGTATAAGATCAAATTGACATGTAGGATAGTGCAAGATATGACAAAATAATAATCTGTAAATTATCAAGGGTTCATGAAGGAGCAGGGAGCAGGGAGGGGGGAGGGAGGGAAAAAATGAGGAGCTGATGCCAGGGGCTTGAGTGGAGAGCAAATGTTTTCAGAATGATGAGGGCAATGAATGTACAAATGTGCTTTACACAATTGATATATGTATGGATTGTGATAAGAGTTGTATGAGTCCTTAATAAAATGATTTTTAAAAAAAGATCAAATTGACAAAGAGCAACTTGAAAGATTACTTATGAAATTTAGGAGGCAGTGAACTTATGCTATTAGGGAGAAACAACTCAGGGAAAATAGTTATACAACTCAAGGAATGTAAGCAGTGTCACTGAACTCTCAATGCAGAAACTTTTGCATTGATGTATGTTTTGCTGTGCATATTCTCAAAACACAAATAAAATTTAAAAGAAAGTATTAAATAAAATAATGTATCATGTGAATATAGAAGCCATTACAATACCTGGTAGTTTGCATATATGGGGAAAGTTCTGAAGAAATCCTGGAATTTCAGAAAATGTGATTCTCTTTTTAAAATCTTTTCTCTGTCCTCTCCAGGAACAAATGAACAAGCATGAAAAGGTCCTGAGGCCATAGAGAGGAGAGCTTTATAACACTATCAGGAGTCAGAATACCTGGGTTTGATTCTTGGCTCTCGCTTAAAACTGCTGAAATTACACATCTATGCTTCAGAGATCGCAACATAAAATAAGAATACAATAGTAAACAAGCCATAGTATTTTTGTATGAGTTAAAGGTAAAGGTTAAATGCATACAAAACACTTAGAACTATGTCTGGTACATAAATGCTTAGATGTCAGTCACCTTTATGCCTGGATTCTCTTTAGTTTGCTGAAGGGAAGTTGCATAGTCTATTATCTCTATAATTCTGATAACGTGAATTAAATTTTCATTAATAGTTTTATACCATCTGGAATTAGATTCACTAAGAATTTTCAGTTTAATATAAATATTTTTGGGAATTAGGAACCACTGAATTATTATCCACTGCTAGTGCTTGAAGGCTAGAGAGAAATCTAACTCAGAAAATTACGCATTAATGGAGGAAAGAAGAGTAGTGCCTGAGAAGCTAGCATAAGATCAGATGAAGGGTTTCTTTTTTTTTTTTTGAAGGGTTTCTTAAGAAAAGAGAGGTCTCAGAAAATAAGATCTTAAGGGGGTAATAAGTACCTCATCTTCCTTAATACCACAAATTTCCCTAGAGCCCAGTCTACTTATTCTTGTGTACTAAATAAGCAGAGGACTACAGGACCATTGGCCAATATTTTGAAGGTTCTCAATTAATAAAAGCAATCTATGACTTTTATCTACTTCAATAAAGACAAAACATTTTGACCATCAGATTTTTTAGGAAATTCTTAAACAAAATGAGCTACAAGAAGACAGGATGTAAATTCCAAACCCAACAAATCTCATCTTTAGCCAGCTTTGTCTGAATGAGAATTATCTGATAATGTTCTTCTGATTGAGTACATGCTTAATCTATGCCACGTGACGTCAACCTCAGGTGTAAGGTGCTAAAGGTTACAGGGAATGAAATGAGAAAATTTTGAAAATCAAAGGTTTTTTTTTGTTTTCTTTCTTTGTTGTGTGTGGTTAATGGTAAAAAATCCTTCATAAGAGGAATAAAAACTACATATTAAATTCCAGTTGCTGAAGTTATGAAAAACAAAGATTTTTTTGAAGATTGACAACTAGTGTCCTTATGGTAGTGAAAAACCATTGGGAATCTACAGTGTAAATACAACTTTAACTTTTATGGCATATAACAATGTCCACATCTTTTCTGACATTAATGATTAACTCATTATTAACTCATTATTTTTTTTAAAAACATTTATGTTTCAACAAAAGCATCAGTAGACTTCTCGTTCTGCTTAATATAAAAAACAGCCTAAATGAATGCAGCAATATATAATTTACAAGGATTTCGTTTATTTGTGCCCTATCTGATTGATCCAAATATCTATGTAAGGAAGTTATATTAAGCTTAAAATTAAATTAAAATTTTAATTTAAAAAATGTAGGACTAAAAGCAAATGAAGTAACTTTTGTCTAGCCCCTTAATTCTAGGTCAAACTAATCCATAAATGACTATAATGTGCAAGTCTGTGGCTTAGCACCATTACAGATACTCATTTATGGTCATGTCGGTTGGTCTATCAGATTTTTTTTTAATTCTACAGTGGAGTTCTGGTTGCCTAGTTGGTTACAAGTTGTGCTGCTAACGAAAATGTCAACAGTTCTAAACTACTAGCTACTCCAAAGGCGAAAGATGAGTCTTGTTGTTCCTGTAAAGATTTACAACTTTGAAAACTCACAGGAGGGAGGTATGCTATGAGTTGCTAGGGTTGCTATGAGTTGAAATTAACTCAATCAGAGAGAGTATAGGGGACTCAAGGTATGGACACTTGTTACTTACTGTCTGCCAACATACAGACTGAGAAAAAGTTAAATGGAGCTAAGTTATAAGTCAAATCAGCTAAAGAAAGAGAACTACTTCAAGACTGTTCCTCTGAGAACCACAGCAACTTATTAGGATTTATTTTTTATTGCTTATACAACTCCTGGATTTCATAAACTTACCAATAATAGATGAAGCTTTATGATGGTATATCTTTCTCACTTTGGTCATACTGAATATTTCTCTATTTTAAATTTTTTTTCAGATATTTGGAATTACTAACAAAAAAGAAAATGATGTTACTTTACTTACTGAGTGGTGTTGTGTCCGGAGGTGGAAAATTTTCAGTAAAGTTGACATTGCATAAGTCTGTACTACAGCAGCAGAAACGGTATGTTCCATTTTGAATTGAGGGAGGGGTGGTGGTTACTACACATTCTTCATAGTGACATTCTTGGGGATCTCCAATGTGAGACCAACATCCTACAAATCAATATTAATATAAACAAATTAGGAGCATTACTAAGGTGAGAGGAATATAAGAATATAAGTACAAAATATATATAAGTACAAGTATTAAAGATATAGTTTGTTATATAAATATTTACAAATTAAATTATATTTTTATGGACTGCCTAAAATATTTATGACTTATGAGCTAATAATTATAATTTATAAAAATCTATCAAGAATATAATGAAATATTTATGTCCAATACAGGAAATAACTTAGAAAACAACATAATGTCCAACAATGAAAGTAAAAGTTAAATGAGCAATAAATGTATTTAACAAAATTTTGTGCAGAGATTAAAAGTATTTTGAGATTATTTGAAGACATCAATCAGGTAATCATATTTTAAATGAGGAAAATTGGGTTTAAGATTTGTTTACATCCAAACGCACAAATTCTTTACATAGTATCACCTAACAACAATATATTTGAAAACAGAAGTACACACACATGTATATACCGTGAGGTACAAAACACAAAGACACCTAAAGGAGCTGTTAATCTTTAAAAAACTCAGAACTGTGAGCTTCTTTATAGTCTCTAAACATCATACACTACAAATGAATTAACATTACAAAGATAAATTAAAATTATTACTACTAGGGTTCCAGTTCATATATGCACAGGTATGTTTTGTTTCTATTGTCTCTATGATCAGTGGCTACCTACAAGCAAGTTTTCTTATTAATACATTTATTTTTGTCTTGATAAGGTGCCTTTTAATAAAATGTTCCAACAAAAACAGTAGCTGCTGAGAGGATCTGCTGGGCCAGTTAAAATTGAGCCAGAGCAGTAAGGACAGAAGGTTACTGCTATTTTTTTTAATTGTCAAGGAGAAATCTTGGTAGATTTCCTCAAAGAACACAAGACAACCACAGGGGATTATAAGAATGCAATTTTAACTAAAAACTACATCCCTTTTGTGGAGGATAATCACATCAATTCACAAAATGGAGAAGGTAAGATTACATTACAGTGCACAGACACTAACAACATACACTTGGTAATAACAAATGCCAAAGTACAAGCACAATGTAGCATTGGCTGTAATGGTTAAGGTTATTTGTGAACTTGGACAGGTCATGATTCTTAGGAGTTTGACAGTTATATAATGATATAATTCTCCTCCATTTTGTGAATTCATGTGATCATCCTCCACAAAAGCAGAGAATGCAAAATGTTTTATGTAAACCTTCATTTTTACATAAAAGCCTGATCTTTAAGGAGTGATGACTGGATGTAATAAAAAGATATTATTAAAATGAGCCAATCAAAACAAACCCAGGAAACAAATGACCTTGTAAATTTGGGGCTTGAAATGCATACATTTAAAAAATAATTTATTTTATTCCATTTTTAATAGTTGATGAGAATATGCAGCAAAACATACATCAATTCAACAGCTAGTACATACATACATTTCAATGACACTGACTACATTTCTTAAAATTATACAGCCGTTCTTAAGTTCTTTTTCTGAGCTGTGCCTCCCCATTAACATAAATCACTGCCCCCTAAAGTTCCTATTTACTCTCTTGTCAATTCGATCCCATATAGATCCTCAGAAGGTAATAAAGCTCAAGCAGGCATCCTGGAAAGCTTTAATTTACCTCCTTTTAAGATAAATTTCAACTGTATGAAACACAAAGTCAAGTCAGATAAGAAAAGTATGACTTACCTTGCTTTACAAGATTTATGTCCCCTTTTGATTTCTCCCAAAGCCCATAGCAGGTGCTGCCTTTTGAACATAATATTGTCCCATTTTCATGAGAGATTCGACTCTCACCAATCCCAGGGTCTTGTTGATAAGGATCTTTAAATGCACATAACCGTTCTTGATTCTGAGAAGCTAAAATGAAACAAAGAATGGCAAATTAATTTATGGTATCCTTTGAAAATATTACTATACCAAATTTTATATAATTAATACATTATAAACATTACTACTCAATCTCTAACAAGGCTTGGATTAGTGTTCATTGGTAATCTTAAATAAGGAGCAAATTTTAGGGGGGGAATGGGGAGCTGACAGTATTGATGATTGTATAACTCCACTTGATGGGGTTGAAAAACAGAATTGTACGTGAATGGACATATTGGATTGTGTACGATATGTCAAATAAAACTATTATAAAATAAATTTTAAAAACAAGGACAAAATTTTTAATTCATTCTTCTAATTAAAATTATCCTCAGGATTCTTTCTCCTCTTTAAATAGTTTTGGTATCTCAATTAAAAAAAGATCGACCGGGGGAGGAGGGGGGAAGGGAAGAAGAGGGGATAACAAACCCAGGGACAAGGGAACAACAAGCGATCCAAATTGGTGGGGAGGTGGGTGTGGGAGA